ACAACTCACTCATTCATAGACGGATCGTCAATTAAATTACTATTACTATCCATTAATCATTACTAACAATATTTTTTTATTTACATTTAATTGCATTGGGTTCTAATAATTAAAAAAAGGAATTGATGAATGACTAATTTAATCTCCACTATAAATTATTTGTTATAATTATTTGTCTTTTTATTTTATCTTTTTTAAAGCTAAATCATTCTTCCAAAGTTCTCCTTGTAAATGTGAGAAAAATGATTCACAAAGCTGCCTTGAAAAAATAGGTTTCAAAAACTTTTTTGAAAGGTATTTGAATTTAAAAGCTTATAATAATGTTTTGAAAGAATAAACTTTTTGATTCTTGTTAAATTGTGGTTAACAATTATGGCTTAACTTTTGACTACTCTTGGTAGTTAATTGCAAGTAATTCGGTGCTTGTCAATTAATTAGTTTACAATTTACTTTGGTTTCCTCTTTCTTGCACTTAGACAAAACTGTGGGCACACCTAATTAAATAAATAAATATGGCCTTTTACAAAACTCAAGTGCTTCTATAAAGTTCCTTTTATTCACTTGTGATCGATTTATTCGTTTGCATTTATTGACTCACTTTTGTTTACTTGAAAAACAACCCAAGTAGCTTGTTTAACAGCCTTATGTTTACAATTACAATAACGCTACCAGTATTTCCAATTATTAACACTCACCAGGTAACCAACATTAATCCTAACCTTGCTTGCTTGTTCACTAAGTAAATAAACGTGGCTTTTTACCAAAGCTCCACAATTGTTACCTTTTACCAAGACATTAACTACACTTGTTGCTTTTATCAAGGCGCTTTAAACAAAGGAAATAAAGACAACATTTTTGTTTAACGATTAATTTTATTTAATAAAAATAATGATTCTATCAGAGTTTTATTTTATTAGAATGTTGATTATCCTCTGCGAGGACAGAAGTTATCTTTAATATTAATGAAATTTTTGTTGATCAATACAATAAGGATAAAGATAAAGATTATTGAAAAGTAACTTAATCAATAAATATGATATTATAATTATTTACACTAAAATTAGAACATAAAATACCGAATCCCCAATTATCTGCCCAATCATGTATTCAGCAAAAACAAAGGAATACACGAGAAAAATATAAAAAAAAGACCTTGGAATATATATTTATAAGTTTTTTTTGTAAGCTTTTATATTTTATTAGCCTTTAAAGCAATTTTACATGCGTAATTTTTGACTTAATGGCAGCAAATTTGACGTTTTACAATTTCGTCAAACAACATTGTTAGTATCATTAAAAGACTCAATAGGTTGGCTAAGAAGGTATAAAAATACTTTATGCTTTTATGTGGTTATTACTTTATAGGGTATCTGTTGATAAGTTTTATGAAAAAAAAAAATTCAATACTTAGACCAAGAAACAATTAGATACTTGGCCACTAATACTTGTGTGACAATGCAATGGAACCATTTAATTGTTGAAAAGCCAGATTAGAGTATATCAAGCTATCAGGTGTATTTGGTTAGCACTAGGTTGATAAAATCAACGAAAATAAAATACATTAAAGTCGATTTGAGTAGCTGAAAATCTAAAGATAAAATTGTCTTTAGACTACAAAATCGTCTTTAGTCTTAATTGATTGATGGATGAAACACAAAAGTTGACCTTAGTCACAAAAGTCAATAAAGTAGAACTATTTTTGCCATTATTAATAATTTCTTCATTCTCTCCTTCTTCACCATCATCATCTTCATCTCTTTTTATTAACTCATTCCTGAATTGCATCTATCGTTTTCTTCTTAGAATTTTTTTTCTTTGGTCCATAAGGTTGGAATATTGATATTGTGCCATTGTTTGTTGACAAGAGCACAAGAATATAATGTTTTGAGATGAGACACTAAATGAAAAAAATTTATTTATAATTAAAAATAATTTATTTTGAATATTAAAACTAGAGTGATGGCAAGTAGCGATAGCCACCACCACCATTCTTTTGATAAACACTTATCCAGCAATTTCTTCTCGATTATTTTCTTTAATTTGTTTTCTGTTTCCTGATAACATTTTTAAGAAAAGAAAAAAGAAGTCTGTGATTTGATCGACGTGTACACATTAATTATTTATCCTACTGATGGAATTTTATGTATAGCAAAGGTTCTTGCGATGTATCAATTGATAGATGGGGAACATGGTTTTGTTTCAGAAAGTATTGATGATCTTGATTCATTATCTTATATTATTCATTAATATATATGGAGACACATTATTTTCAAATGAATGTAAGGCAGGAGGTAAATTGTATGCACATTTAAAACTAAAAAAAATAGTATATTATTTTGGTATTAGCATTCCCTTTATATTTCACTCAAATTCTCTCCTTACACTTGATCAAGATTCATTAGATATTTATTCATTTTTTAATGCAGATGAAACACATTCACATTTAGCTTCTTTTTCTAATAACAAGGATGATTAATTGAATAAATAAATAATTGTAACAAACATTTAAAAAAAAGGTCCCGACTAATAGAAGGGTAAAAAACATATGACAAAAAAAAAAGTTCCTATTAATGACAAGGTAAAGTTAATAGATGATAGGCTGAGTAAAAAGACTATAAAATTTGCCCAATTTTGCCGGAACATCTGATATGAGTTTCCGGGTTCCTGATAATCTTTATCTTCTTCCAATAAGCAATTAATTAATATTTTAATGCTTGTTATACGAATAAAATGGATTTCTCCATAAAATATTCCTATTTACACTGTGCCATTGTTTGTTGACAAGTGTGCATGAATATAATGATTTATAATCTTCTTCAAATGGCAAACTTATTTTTTGGTGAGATGAGACACTAAATGAAAAAAAATTTATTTATAATTAAAAATAATTTATTTTGAATATTAAAACTAGAGTACCACCACCATTCTTTTGATAAGCACTTACTCGCGTCTTTCTCTTGGTTCATTTTCTTTACTTCTCTTAGAATTTTTGAGTGACGACGAGTGACGATAACCACCACCATCCTTACTCATTTTGCATCTTATTATTTTCTTTTTTTCTTTTATATTTTTTTTTTAAAGATTATTTATTTGATCGACGTGTACACATTAATTATTTATCCTATTGGTTGATGCGAATTGATTTTTTTTTTGGGGAGACGTGAATTAATTTTTTTTTTCTTGGAAAACAATAAAGCAATCTTATTTTTCAATGACAAAACGCGAGTGTTGTTGTTTGATATGATATGGTTTGGCTCTCATCCAAAGACGTGTTAATAACTAACGAGAGTTACTATTTTTGATATTTTTATTTTAGTTTATAAATATTTTAATTGGAATCAAAACGCGGAGCAGATCTCGCTGGGTAATTATAAGATCCTTATCAACAACAAACGATTGGTATTTTTCTTTCTGTAATCATTATTAATATATATTTATAATATTAATATTATAATTACAAGATATCAAGGCAGCACGATTGACTGTTGCAGAAGAAACATTTTGATATGCGATGTTTGATTATCGGAAATTAGCAGACGTTGAAGCACTCATGCTGCCTTGAACACTTTACAGTCATTCTCACGTCTTCCTCACGTACACAATATTAATCTGACTTGCATCTCCCGATGATATGATGATGTTGAAATCCAGGGGGGTCGTTTTGCCCTGGAGTTTATTGAGGCTGCATCAATCATCAACGACACTTTCACTAATCTTCACAGCACTCAGACCAGAGAAGGCTGCTGGCATGCTAGCCAAAAAGTTGCCTGCAACAATCCTACTTCTAGATAAGAATGTCTCTGCAACCAAGTTGCAATTCTGGAGGAATATTAAAAGAATCTGCAACTTGTTTCAAGCTCTCTGATGTTAAGAGGAAAGTTGTAAAATAATGTTTGTTTTGTATAATCATTTTCCTAAATTCCCTGTTTCTTTAATAATAACCAATTTATAATTTTGGTAGGAGACTGAATGGGTTTTTGTCTAATCAGTCCTCTGTCCTGTAGATTAAAATTATCACATGTTTATATACATTTTTGTCAACAATATGGCCAACAAGAAAAAAGTCATAAAATGGTTTGAATTTTGGTACATTATGTTATAAATTAATCATTCCCATAAATTTTCAGTTTCTCTTTGAATTTTTATTTGACCAACTGAACTTGTTATTTTTTAAATGGGGGTTCTTGCCCATATAATCTACACTAAGATAAAGGAGTGTAGCTCAACGAGAGCATGTATCTCACAAATATAAAGATGGCAGTTCGACTCTGCACACTCCTATTGTGACAGTCACCATGATCACTGCCATCAAGGAGAAAGTGTAAAATAAAATGGTTCAGATTTTGATCATTTTCATAAATTTTCTGTTTCTCTTTAATTTTTATTTGACCAACTGAACTTGTTATTTAAATAAATGGGGCAGGGTTGTTGGTGAGTAGGCATGCCACTGACAAGGCAGGAGATGCCTTTGGGATGTACCAGCCAAACTCATAGAAAGGGATCTTTTGTCCAGACTTTGGGTCACATGGTTGTTAAGCACAGAAAATGTACACCATCAATGTATATTTTTTTCAACAAAATAAACATTTAAATAATTAATTGTTAAATATTATATAATACTTTTTCTTTTCATAAAAAATTACAGCAACCCAGGTAGCAATCTCCCAAGTTGCAGCCTCCAGAGTTGCAGAATTTTCAAGCCAGTCTTAACACCAACTTTATGCTAGTGTGGCAATAACACAAAGTAATCATCATAAATGTCAACTCCCATCTGCAATCAATGCCCATTTGGTAACAGCCAAGCCTGGTCTCAGGGGAAGATAAGTAAATGTTTTGTCCAAAGCCTTCCAACATGTTCAGGGTGGCCTTCACCTGTGGGAAAAAATTCCATGGTGCTGAATTGTGCTTAATTGCACAACGCTGCATGTTTGTGATAGGAAATTT